GCGGCTTAGTTTCTCACTTTCTCTCTCTCTCTTATTCTGGTCAAATAAAAATAAATAAATAAATAAATAAATCACCTCCCTAATGGGACATGGTCACACTATAGTCCCTTTTACTCCATTTCTCCATCCTGTTGGGATTTTGGACACACATGTACATGTATCCAGCATGCTTTTCAAGCCACTGGGGTAGGGATTTGATAAGCTCCCTCGATTACCTGGCCATGGGCTGACCCAACTTTCTACACCAACTTTATATCCATTGCTACTAACAAGGAGGTCGGCAGTGGAAATCTCTGTGTGTGTGTGTGTGTGTGTGTGTGAGAGAGAGAGAGAGAGAGAGAGAGATTGATAGAGAGAGAGAGAGAGAAAGAGAGAGAGCGCTGGGCCCAGACATTCCAGTTCCCTGAGACAGATGGTGCTGGACTTTCCCTTCAAGCAGCTTTCTAATCTGCCCATCCACACAGTCTCTACCATCTCTTCTCCAGACTCCTAAAAGAGACCCTAAAGGGTCTTCTGTTGGCACTTTGCTTTCCTCCAGGTTATTCTCCACCGAGTAGCAATGTTCTTAGCACTCACATCAGATCACACCCACCCCTATACAAATCCTTCCAGGGCCTTCCTGTCACTCAGAACAAAATCCAAACCTTTTTCCATGGCCTGCAGGACTTGGAAATCACCCTACTTACTACTTCAGCCTGACCTTGTGCTCCTCTCCTTTCCACATCAGCCTTCTTCCGGCTTCTCGCACATGCCCAGCACCTTCTGGGCAGGGGGCAGTTGTGCTGTCCTATACCCTGGTGCAGAAACCTCTTCCCTCGGAGACTGACGGCTGCCTCCTCTCCTCCCGTTAGGTCTACAGGTCAGTGCCTCCCTTCTGACCACTCTGAAATTGACCCTCTCCATTCTCTCCTTGGGCCCCCTCTGTTGAGGCCTTTCACGGCCCTGGTCATTTAGTTTCTCTTTTTCTTTTTTTTTTTTTTTTGTCTACCTCCTCAACTGGACTGTAAACTTTATGAAGAGGGGGAGCATCTTTGGGGTACCTGTTCACTGTGGCAGCCCAGTGTACGGGCCCATAGTAAGTCCTCCCTGTTTGTTAAGTGAATGGATGAATGAGTGGATGAATGAAATAGAATTTGCAATACTAGAGGAACAGGAAATGTGAAATCTTACAAGTCTAAGAACACTGGAGCATGGTGATGAGGGGGATGGTTTTGGCAAAGGATGTGTGTACAAAACTGTCCCTGCAGAAAATGTGCCAGATTTGAGAGAGAGGCTTGTGAAGGAATCACAACTGCCAAGACCAGAGAAATTGAGACACTTGCAGGACTTTCACACCACATCGCGGGATGCCCAGTGTCGAAATTATACTGGAAGCTCCGTCTTTATAATACATTTAGAGTTTGGGGGCAGGAGGGCTAGGGAGAAACAGATAAGGGAAGGGAGAAAAACTCAAGTGTCAGACTCAAAGCAATTAAGTCCATCAGAATGGAACCACCGCTAAGGAAGGTGAATTTCTCGGTTTATAAACCTGCACATTGCTCCTCTGTGCTTTGGATATGCAAATGAAGCGCCCGAGGAGGGAGCAGCCTCCTCTCCACCCAAAGGCTGGTATCCAGTCCCAGCACTTCAGGTATAATTAACCTGAGGGATGACATACCCTTGAGGTGGCTGTCAAAAATCCATCCCCAGAGAGCTGTCAAGCCCTCTAGGAAATCAGAAAAGGAGGATAGAAGGAAGCCCAGAGCTTACCTCACTAGCAGACAAGCTCCAGAGAAAGACTTTCATCTGCTGTAGGTGCCCGCACAGAACTGTCAGGCAAGAAGGAGCACATGCAATCATTATTTATACATTTCATTCATGTCCTGAAAGACCCCTGCTGTGGTCTGAGGTTCCCCTTCTCAGCCTGGCCTGTGACATCAGGCATAGCTAACTTCTCTGTGTGTCAGTTTCCTTCGTTCTAAAGAAAGGAGATTAATGCTCTCCAAGGTCCTTTATGGTCTCACTTTATAGGCTAAGAAACGTCAGGAGAGACTCTGGAAATGTATTAGGAACACTGCTGTTACACTCAGAGGACCCCAGAGGACACAGGGCAGAGAATGAGAAGGTATAGTCTGGAAATAACAGGTCTTAGACTCAGCCCTTGTCTTTCAGGGACCAGGGTCCAATATAACCTGGAGGTGATGTTGTGGAATTTCGAGGGATGTGGGCTGAACCTGAGAATGACAAATCCACACTGTTCAGAACCTTTCACAAATGTTGCTATTTGTGCCTGTCTTTTTCTTTCTTTTTATTTTTAAGAGAGTTTTTTTTTTTTTTTAACAGGTTTTTTGTTATAGGCCGTGTGCACTCGCCAGAGAGACAGAGAGAGACATAGAGACAGAAAGCGAGAAATCACTCCCCGGGGGGATGGTCACGCCACAATCCCTTCTCCTCCATTCTCCTCTCGGCATCTTGGGCACGCACGCACACATGCCCGGCTTGAGTTTTAAGCCACCGGGTCCGGGATGAGAACCGCGGTCGACTACGTGGGAGTCCAGCAACATAGCCATTGCGCTAACTGCTGGTTCCCTCTTTTTTCTTTTTTGCTACAGGAAGCATGCACTTGTGGAGAGCCAGAGAGAGTCAGAGAGACATCCCCAGGGAGGATGGCATACCACAATCCCTTCTCCTCCATTCTACCCTCAAGATCTTGGGTACATATACCACACACCTGGTCACCAGGTCTGGGATTTGAACCACAATCAACAGCTTAAGAGTCCAGAGATGTAACTATTACATCATTTGCTGATCCCTAAAGCTGGTATTTTAATGTTTTCTATTCTAAACCTCATTTAAGTCTCTTAAGACAGGCAAATGTCTTTGTCATTTAAAATGACATTTATTGTTTCAGAATCACAGAATTTCTGTGATTATTATAAGAAAATACAAATAATTCAGAAAAATACCGACTAGAGGCCACCAGTTGGCATAATGGTTACATCGCTGGACTGCTAGTAGTCAACTGTGGTTTGAGCTCTGGACCCGGTAGCTTAAAACTCATGCTGGATGAGTGTACTTGCATGCCCAAAATCCTGAGAGGAGACTGGAGAAGGATTGCAGGGCGGCCATAGCCCCTCAGAGTTGTGTAAGGGCGTGATTTCTTGCTTTCTGTCTCTCTGTCTCTGTCTCTCAGGTAAGCACACATGCCTATAGCAAAAATCTCTCTTAAAGAAAAATACAGACTAAAAAAATGAAAAGTATATCTTACTCTCTCTCTGCTCCTCTATAGTTTGATGAGTTTTCTAGTCTCATCCCCAACCTTTTTCTATGAATTTACATGTATTCAGAGGTAGAGATTGCTTTTTTAAAACATGGATCAAACTATACACATTACTGCACTTTCTTTCTCTTAATATACCTTGGTCATTTTCCAAATTCTTAGAGTTTTGCTATTTTATTTTTAAATGAGTCATGCTTGAAAACAAATTAATAGCAACATTTCCATGTACACTGAAGATAGAGGAATATTATATTTATCATCAACAGGTAACAGTGGAGTAGACTGGAGAAGAAAGGGGGTTGGTGGCCAGAAATAGGGTAAATTGGGACCAGTAGTTAGAGTAATTGCTATGTCACTGAACTCCCATGGAGTCGACTGCAGTTCAAGTCCCAGATTCAATGGCTTATACTCACTCCAGGCGTGTGTGCGTGTGTGCCCAAAATCTGAGAGGAGAATGGAGGAGAAGGGATTGCGGTGTGGCCATCCACCCTGGGGGTGATTTCTCACTTTCTGTCTCTCTGGCGAGCGCAAGCGCCCTGTAGCAAAAACCTCTCCAAATAAATAAATAAATAAATAAATAAATGAAGAAAAAAGAAATAGGGTGACTCTGAAACTGTCAGATTACTAATTTTCTCTCAAAAGCAGGAGCACAGTTAGAATCACAAACTAGCTTAACAAAACCTCAGAAAACTTATTATTGAATAGTTTTCAGTTTCCCCATCTGTAAAATGGGGATAGGAATAATCTATGTGCGTAGGTTGTTGTAAGAATAAATGAGATTATTCATTCTAAGGCTCAGAACGACTGAGGGCGTTGATGACGATGACAACGACGCGAATTCGCTAATTCTTGAGTCTGGGCAGGTGCGGGTTGGGAAGGGGTGGGGCTTAAATGGTAAGGATAGCAATACTGGAAATGGATGCTGCAGGAAATAACTTATTAAGATCTACCGAATCAGTCTGACTATCTGGGAAGCCCTCTGGAGACAGCACGGACAGCCAGACTCCAGTTATAGAAATTTCAACATACCTGGTTTTTAGAAAACTGCTCCAAGCCTAACCGTTGGGAAACCTAGAACTACAACTCCCAGAGTGCACCACTCTGGCTCCGCTCCAGCTCCGCTGCGGCCCCGCTCCGCCCCCGACGTTGCGTCTCTGGTGGTCGCGCCAGGCCCGTAGTCCGAACTACATATCCCAGAAGGCCCCGCAGCACCGCCCCAGTCCCCGCCTCATCAATCCCATAGTTTGAAGCGAAACTGCGGCCGCGTTGCCTCCTTGGGAAGTGTAGTTCAGCAGCGATCGAGCCCTCCCGGCCTGGGCCCTTCAATAGGGCGGGCGTCCTGGGCGCGCGTGAATACGGATTTTCCTAACTGCCCACCCGGAGGAGTTTTCTGACTCTAGAGGGCCCTGGAGACGCTCCTGGACTCGGGGTCTGCCACGAGTGCACGTCGCGTTCGAGGCCTCACCGGGCGAGAAGGTAGGGTGGGAGGAAGGCGGACGAGACCAAATGCAGCTTGGAGGAGGGAGTGGGCCAAGGGGAAGGGAATCCTAGCGGAGAAAATAGGGGTGGGAGTGGGGCGTGGCGCCCTCTTCCCGCGAGGCAGGATCCCCGCGGAGGGAGAACCGGGTGTCTGTGCGGTGAGATGGCTTAGTATGTGGCTGATCGACCGGACTTCCTCATCCTGTGCACCTCCCCTGCTTAGTGGAGGCAGCTAGCTCGCCAAGCCTCGGACCTGGGCGTTGGAGGGCGCGGAGGAGCGCTGGTTGGAAAGTTAGGCAAGAGCTAGTCTTAGCCAGGAGAAGTTTTGCTTCTGCACCGTGAGCAGTTCCAACCGCTTGCTAACTTCCGGGCTTTGTAGGAACTGAAAGGTCTCTGAGAAAAGATGTTTTCGGGGTTCTGGCCAAAGAGCCCGAGCAGAAAGGACGGAAACCCTTAAACTGTCGGCTCCTCGCAGAAGCCTCAACAGTGCTGCGGGAGTACTACCCACAGCATCCTTATAAACATCGGTGGCATTTCATTGATCAAGCCAGAGAATATTGTGAAAGCGATGTCTGGGCTAAATTCACTGAAGAAAATCAGGGTTGAAAACAGTAGTACAGGGGTGAGATGATGACAGGGTAGTAAAACAAGAGTCTCTGCAAAACATTCCCCAATGGGAAGGTTGCCAGTTCAAGTCCAGAGACCTCCCTGAACACCATGCCAAAGATCTGGGACTGGCTGAAGGCTGGATGAAAACTGGGGGTGGCTCATGGTATCAGCACCTCTCTGGGGTGGTTGTCTTTGCTTCTCTCTCTGTCACTCAGTAATGGAAGAAATAAGTATAGTATGTACAGAATGACCCTATTGTATAGTAAATACATATATGTCCCAAATACGCGACATGTATCCATGGGTATGGATACATGTAAATATATGTCAATAGGAAAATTTCAGAACTATACTGTACTCTAAACTAACTGGTCATTGAGATGACAGATGAATTTTATTCCTCTTTATCCTAATGTAGCCTCTAAATTTTGCAAAGTGAACACACGTTAGTTCATTTCCTTTCTTATTTTTCCAAGAATTGCTTAGTTGCACTGTGTGTTGTGTTCTGGAAGTCAGACCAAGGCCCACTGCTCTGGCTTGCCCTGGGCCACATGCAGATTGATTTAACAGGAATGAAAGGATTGGATGTGGTCTATGTGAGGCTAATGCGTTGTCTTTCTTCCAGGTTGGGAAGAGGCTATTTTAACAAGCGACTCACTATGGTACGTGGTTGTCTATTTCAGTCTCATCCATTGTCCTTTCTAGTTTAAGATGTTGCCTTTCTCATAGATGAGTTTAGATTGGGTTGTATCGCCTCACTGGGATCTGATAAACCACCTTGGGAAGGAGAAAAATACTAGAGTTGAAGTACCTTTTTAGCTTTGGATTTTCTTTTCGCTTTTTGTTAGTTACCAGGATTATTATTTTAGCATGAGCTGCTCTATCATCCCTGTATATGTATTTTTATGTATATGTATTTTTTTCATTATAAAAGAACCATTAATGTACCCTTTAGTCATGCTCCTTATATATTTCCTGAGACAAAAAAGCTTGTTAAAATCAAGGTAGGAGGGACCAGCAGGTGGAATGGTGGTTCAGGCTCTGGATTCCCATGTGGCCAACCACGGTTGAGTCCTGGTTTGAGTCCCAGACCCAGTGGCATGAGGATTGTGCCACGTGTGTGCATGCATGCCCAGAATTCTGAGAGGAGATACTGTGGGGCCATCAGATGATTTCTCACTTTCTCTGGTGAGCATATACACCTTGTGGTAAAAACATAAAATAAAATAAAATAAAATAAAAGTAGGAGTGCAGCAAGTAAATAAATATAATGTTTTTAAAAATAAATTTGTAATGTTCTTTTTTTCTTCCACAGCTTTGCCAGCTTTCCAATTAAAGATTGACATTCCTACATAAGCATTTTCCTGTTAAAATGTCCTTGCCCCTCACAGAGGAGCAAAGGAAAAAGATCGAAGAGAATCGACAAAAGGCTCTGGCCCGTAGAGCAGAGAAGTTTGCAGAACAACATCAGAACGTAGGCTCAGGCTCCTTCACTGCTGCCAACCTTTCCCAGGCCAAGCAGGGCTCTTCCCAAAACCTCTCCAGGGCAACTTCAAAGCCAGTGAGCCATGAGGTCATCTTCAAGCAACAGAGTATTTCAATTAATGATAACCAAAGACCTAATTCCCATAATTTTCATCTCAACACATCAGAGCAGACAAAGGAGATGTGGAAAGGTCAAGAAATGAAGTCTGTGACCTGCCCAAGCTACAGCCCACCAAGTCAAACAACCCTCACTGGGACCTTTCCTCCCATGGTACAAAGTCCACCAGAGGTCCCTAACCCACAGCATTTGAGTTACAAATTAGGTCAAGGTTGTCTTCAGGCTTCACATGAAGTCAAGTTGACATCTTTTTCTTACACACCTCCTGAGCCTTTGGCCACAGTGAAGAGTTCCTGTGGGACCCCAGCTTCTTCCTGTGGACAGCCTCCTGGGGATCTTGAAGTAGAGGCTAAGACAGCGAAGGCTTCAACTTCTGGGCAGAGCATTTCTGACATCCACTATGGTTCAGGGAGTGTGATACCCAGGACAGAAGGACAGCTCCAACAGAAGTTGGGCACCTCACTCCAGAAGGCAGTAAACTCCCATAAGGGAACGTGCATGAGGAATGGAGATCGCTTCCACGTCCAGATTGGATACAATGCAGAGCTCCTTGCAGTGTTTAAGAGTCTACCCAGCAGGCGTTATGGTAATGAGTCTTCTGTAGATTATTCTTCTATTCTTAGAAACTCTTTTCATCTAAGAGGTTCTTATAAATGTAAGAGTGCATTGGTTTGGGTCAACAGGTGCTGCAGTGGTTGAGGCTCTGGATTCCCATGTGGCCAACTGCATTTCGAGTTCCAGACCCAGTGACTTGAAACTCATGCCAGCTGCATATGCGTGTATGCCCACAATCTCAGGAGGAGAATAGAGGAGAAGGGATTGCAATGTTTCCATCCTCCCTGGGGGTGTGATTTCTCAGTTTTCCTCTCTGTATATCTGTCTCTCTCTCCAGTGAGTGCACACATCCTGTGGCAAATACCTAAAATAAAAAAGTGCATTGCCACATTCTGTCTATCTAAAGGTTAAAGTTTTTCTTTTAGTTCATTTTTTCCTTTGTGACAGACAGTTCCCTCAAACTCCCGCAAACTTGGGGCCAGCTGCTGGATGGCCCTTTGTAGATGGCTGAATATTTACTGAGAAGCCAGTTTCTCTTCCAGGGACCTTATATGCATTGTAACACTTAAGACTGACACTTTTTTATTTATTTATTTTTTGGAGAGATTTTTGCTATAGGGCGCGTGCGCTCGCCAGACAGACAGAGAGAGAGAGACATAGAGACAGAAAGCGAGAAATCACCCCCCCAGGGGGGATGGTGACGCCGCAATCCCTTCTCCTCCATTCTCCTCTCGGGATCTTGGGCACGCACGCACACGCTCCCGGCGTGAGTTTTAAGCCACCAGGTCTGGGACGCAAACCGCGGTCGACTACGTGGGAGTCCAGTGATATAGCCATTACGCTAACTGCTGACACTTTTTTTTGAAATATGGAGATGTGGGCCGGCAGTTAGTGTGGTGATTAAGGCGCTGGATTCCCACATGGCTGACAATGGTTTGAGTCCTGGGACCTGGCAGCTTGCTTTCTCACTCTCCTCTCACCTCTCTCTCTGTCTCTCTCTGCTCAAATTGAATAATAATAATAATATATATATAT